TAAGGATTGTTCTCAATAATAGCACTTTATGTGTAAAATGTTATGTTGGTTATATATGCTCCAAAAATTAATCGTACCCTAGGAAATATTGTATGCTCTTCTGTCATAAAATAACACTTTTCCAATCAATTTTTTTTCTTTCAGATCCTATCACATAGGAAAGTATGTACCTTCAGATCCTGAAGAAAAGGCGCAAAATGTTCAAGTAATCTTTCAAAGTAATTTGTGAGGTAAGCATGTGGTTCTTTATTCAGGTATCTAATCACTGTTGCCTTTTTTAAAAAATATATTTTATTGATTTCTTACAGAGAGGAAGGGAGAGAGATAGAGAGCTAGAAATGTCGATGAGAGAGAAACATCGACCAGCTGCCTCTTGCACACCCCCTATCGGGGATGTGCCCGCAACTGATGTACATGCCCTTGACCGGAATCGAACCTGGGACCTTTCAGGCCACAGACCGACGCTCTACCACTGAGCCAAACCGGTTTTGGCCACTGTTGCCTTTTTGACAGCTGACACTAGTGACTGCATCCATGGAACAGGCCATACAGGCCACACAAAAGGTTAATGGTGATAAGGAAATATTTCTCTCCACCTGTTGCCCTTGATTTGCTTAGCACCTGTCTCAGAAGGAGAGTGTATCTTAGGGTGGGGCAGGGCGTCCAGAAAGCAACTGTTATTAGCAAGTTTCACAAGGTGAGGTGAATGCTCAGTGTAAATGGAATGGAATGTTTTTGCTTGTATAGTTTTTCCCTTAAATAATGGAGGTCCTCATTGTAGTTTTTTGTTCTGTGAAACCAGGCTTTATTTAGCACTAGCGGCCCAGTGCACGAAATTTGTGCACGAGCGAGGGGGAGGACGGGGAGTGTACCCTCTGCACTCTTTCACAATCTGGGACATCCTTTGCACAATCTGGGACCACTGGCTCCTAACTGCTCATCTGCCTGCCTTCCTGATTGCCCCTAACTGCCTCTGGCCCTCCCGCCACCACCACAGCTTTATCCGGAATGATGTCTGGAAGGTAGTTTTGCTGTCCGTTCTAATTGACATATTATGCTTTTATTATTATAGACAAGGAGCAGCAGTTTAGCTTCAGGAGAATAGACAAAAATCCCATTAAGCCAACGCCTGTTTGGCTCAGTGGTAGAGCGTTGGTCTGGGGACTAAAAGGTCCCAGGTTCAGTTCCGGTCAGGGGCATGTACATTGGTTCCGGGCACATCCCTGGTAGGGGGTGTGCAGGAGGCAGCTGGTCAATGTTTCTCTCTCATTGACGTTTCTAGCTCTCTATCTCTCTCCCTTCCTCTCCGCAAAATATCAATAAAATATATATATTTGAAAAAAATCCCATCAAGTTGGAAAATGATGATGTGACATCTTCTTGACCGTCGGTCAATGCATAGTGCTTTCAAGTTTTTTCCAAAAATGGTTTTCAGGAGTATTAAGTCAATAGCGATTTTGGTGTTTAGGGTAGAATAAGATTGCAGCCTTATTGTAATGAGTGTGTATATTTTAGTTTTGCATCGAGAATCACTGTACCATTGCTCTCATGCTCCTAGTATTTTTAGATTAGTTCAATGTAAAGGAATTGTTTCTTCATTTCCTCCCTTCCCTTCCTGCTGCGTTAGTGAAGTAGATACAGTAACTCAGCAGAATGCTCATGCAGTTGATGAGAGATAACTAAACACATCCAGTTTAACCTTGCTGTGTCCATTGCTTACATTCTTGAAAAGTAAGTCACTTCTGGCTATCAGATTATTTTTCCCTTTGTCTTCTAGTGGATTTCACAACTTTGGCTCTAAAGCACGTAGCATTATGCACCAGCATTCTGTTATGCACTTCCAGGAATGTCCTGTCATGCCAATGGCAGGTGTCCTTGTGGCTACTCTTCCTGCCATCTGCACCCCCAGCCAAGGCGTAGCATCACTGGCTGCATCCTGCACTCTGGCTATTCGCACCAGTGCCTCCACCAGAAAGTTAGGCTGGATTGGCTCAGCTGGTCAGCATGTGTGCTTTTAGAAGCCATTCAAGGTCCTGATTTCTGGGTGGAGCTCACACTGCACAAACATGGTGCTGACAAAAGGCTAGTCTGTGTGGCTGTGCAGCTCGTTATCTTACTGCCCAGCAAAGAAGCATCTGTTCTCATAGAAAGCGTTCTACTGGAGGACTCACCTTAAAGCAGAAGGGTTCTGTTGGAGTAATTTTTCAGCTTAAGGTCTTGATGTACAGTTATGATTCAATAAGAAACTTATGGAAGTCACTAGGAAATAATTGCATCTGAGAGGCACCAGTTTCTTGTTGATCTGCCTGTAAACAAACATGCACTTGCCAACAGTACACAGGCACCAAAGGGAGCACAGGAAGAGAGGACCAGACCCTCCATCCAGGCCGACCGGGAGGGAAGACAACAGCTCTTGTGGTGGAAGGGGGTCTATGCACTGCAGGTGCAACTGATGAGCGTGCCCTGAGGGTTCTAGGCTGGTAGAGAAGCTTCCAGATAGTGTCAGCCCTCTTGTAGAGTCATAGTGGGGTAGGCAGAACCAGTTTGCACCTCTTTTTATTTCTCTCTTATACCAGACCATCTTTTTATATAAAGGGGGAATTTTCAAAATATTTTCAGAATGAACTCTCATCTGCAAGTTCATTCATTAAATGTTTTCATAATTACTATGCTTCAGTTGCATTTAAGGAAAAAACAAACAAACAAAAAATGACCCAGTGTTGCTTAGTAGTTGAGCATCTAACTAGGAACCAAGAGGTCACAGTTCAATTCCCAGTCAGGGCACATGCCCAGGTTGCAGGCTTGATCCCCAGTAGAGGGCATGCATGAGGCAGCCAATCAATGATTCTCTCTCATTACTGGTCTATCTCTCTCTCTCTCCCCCACTTCCTCTCTAAAGTAAATATATATACACTAGAGGCCTGGTGCATGAAATTTTGTGCACTGGAGGGGGTCCCTCAGCATGGCCTGCACCCTTTCACAGTCCTGGACCCCTAGGAGGATGTCTGCCTGCCGGACATCCCTCTCGCAGCCCGAGACCCCTTGCTCCTTATCACCTGCCTGCAGTGGAGGCGGCAAAGGCTCCCATCACCATTACCACTGCACTCACAGCCATGAGTCCGGCTTCTGACTGAGCGGTGCTCCCCCTGTGGGAGCCCACTGACCACCACCTGTATTGAGGATATGTCCCCTGGTGGTCAGTGCTCATCATAGCGACCGGTCGTTCTACTGTTTTGTTGATTTGCATGTTAGGGTTTTACTATATAGGATAGGGTGTGTGTGTGTGTGTGTGTGTGTGTGTGTACTAGTATATTGAAATGCCCAGATTCGAAGACTGCTGGTAATCACTTGTAGCAGACTTGACTCCAAAAGCACCCATTCTCACTACTCCTGCTCCTTCACAGAGGGGAGGGACCCTCGCTCTGTGCTTGTCTGAAAGATGAGCAGTGCGCCTGTGCTGAGAAAGCACTTGGGTCGTTTCCTAAAAGGCTGTCAGTGATTTTCTGTCCCTTAAATGAATGCTAAAGCCAAATGAACTCTGACTCTTTTTCCCCCTTGTCTTTATCACAAGTATCACTACTCTTACACCAAACACCAATAAGAGAAGGTAATATGTTTAAATAAGTTGCTAGGAAAAATGCAAGCTCCTCTTTCCTTTTGTTGGACCCTGTATGTTCTCAGGTATCAGGAACTGTAGGAAATATAGGAAAGGTGTCAAAAGAATGGATTAATAAGTGAAGGAAACTTTAAAAGATTAAAATAGAGAGGAAGGGGAGGATCCAAGATGGCTGCGCCCAGGTAAACACCTAGCCGCAGCCGCACACAACAATTTCAATAAAATACAACTAAAATATAAAATGGACATTACCCAGAACTACAGGAAAGTCGACTGAATGGAAATTCTACAACAAGAAGCAAGGAGAAAACCAGAAGGAAGCGCGGAGGAGCTGTAAAAGCCTAAGGTACGGAGACACACGGCGCGCGGAGAGGAGGGAGGCTGAGTGCCTGGCTGGCGTTCCCTAGCGGGAAGGAGATAAAACTCCAACTGTGTTGGGCCCCAGTTCTGACTGCTCTGAACCCCAGTTCTAGGCCAGACCCCAGGGACCCAAGCACATCCATAGGGAGCTGGGCTGTAAGGTAGAACCCCGGGGAAGCAGCGAAAGGAGGTCCCGGTGGTGTGCACATTGCGCGCAGAGAAGGTCAGATAAAGAGCTTCACTAATAAAAAAAAAAGCTAAAGGAGTTCATCAACACCAAACCAGAATTATATGAATTGCTGAAGGGGGTTCTTTCAGAAGAGAAAGTAAATAAAGATAAAAATTATGAACAACAAATACATAACTATCAACAAGTGAATCTAAAAACCAAGGAAATTTTTTAAAAAATCTGATGAACAATATTAACTGTTGAATATAATAGAATCAGAGGTATGGAAGGGGAATGGACTGACAATTCTTAGGGAAAAGGGGAGAGGGGGATGTGGGAAGAAACTGAACATAAACTGTGCACCTATGGATGAGGACAATGGGGGGTGGGGAAAGGGCCGAGGGTGGGGTGAGTACCTGGTGGAGGAGAGCAATGGTGGGGGGGAAAAGGAACATTTGTAATAATATGAACAATAAAAACTTATTAAAAATAAATAAATAAAATAGAGAGGAAGGGCATTCTAGAAACTGTATAGAATTGAAGAAGATAAAGATGAGAGCCTGCCTACAAAACATGATCACGTGTTATCAGAGTTAAAACGAGGGAGGAATGAAAATAAACTGAGAATCACATTGAGAAAACCCAGGTAAGCACTATGGTGTGGACAGTGGATGATAGCCATGGTACAAGTCTCGTGTCCACTGGGGCTTTGGAACTTGGGTGCTGTGATTCTGCATTGGGTTTGTTCTTTTCATTATCTTTGTCCATCTGTGGCAGTGGCTGGCCCTCTGTGTGCTCCCCAGGAGCCTCATCAGCTCTGTGTCCAATCCCCCTCTAGGGTGCATCGGGGAAATCATGCCGTCATCAGGACACCGGCTCCGAGATGTCGAACACCATCCTCTCCTGATCGAAAATGACAATTACGACTCTTCATCCTCCTCTTCCTCTGAGGCTGACTCGGCAGACAGGGTGTGGTTCATCCATGACGGCTGTGGCATGATCTGCGCTGTCATGACGTGGCTTCTGGTCGTCTATGCAGACTTTGTGGTGACATTTGTCATGCTGCTGCCTTCCAAAGACTTCTGGTACTCCGTGGTCAACGGAGTCATTTTTAACTGCTTAGCGGTGCTTGCCCTGTCATCTCACCTGAGAACCATGCTCACCGACCCTGTGAGTACTCGCCGTTGAGCTGGGTTTTCCTCATGTGTCTGGTCTGTCGCAACATGGGCCATGCAGCAGACGGCCTCTTGCTCCTGTAACCTCAGGTTTTTACTGATTCCTAGAAATAGGTTTGTAGCATTTTTCACTGGAGAATAAGTATTCAGAAGTGGTATCATGGTATGTCAATGAAAAATATTCTTGCTGGCTGTTTATTCAAATGAAGAGATTGTATCAAGTAATTTCTAAAATCCCTCCTAGTTTAAATATTTAATTTCTCTAAGGAATGGACTGAAAGCTGAGAGATCCGGGATCTAGATTTTACTACTGTGCTAACCTTTTCAATTGCCTTTGACTGTAAGCAACTAATTTAACTTCTTTGGGCTAAAGGATCCCTATTACCTCTAAGTTCTTGCTAGCTTTGTAATTCTCTTGTTTTTAAGTCTCAGCTAAAATGAGAAGTAAACGTCTCATTCTAGCTGGTATAATAAAAGGTCAAGATTCAGCTGCGCTACAAAGCAGAGAGGGAGAACTCATTGATTTCGGGTTATATCGGGTTGAGTGTGACCTTGGAGGAAGCGGTTGCTAAACAGAGATCAGGTTCAGTGCGGTGAGAGAGCTGGCACTGGTGTGTGAGAACCAGGCGGCACTTTGGGGTTGTCTTTGGAGCAGTTTCCCTGGCATTAAAGATGGGCCAGCTCTCACACTGCGAACTGCCCTGCTTCCTGATGTCTTGAAGGCCCTGGACTCAGAACCTCCATGCTGGGCATGAGGCTGCTAACCTGAGATTTTGAGGCGTCCTCTGGTTAGGCAAAGTGGTCATGATCCTCAAAGTTCAGCCAGGAGTCACCTCCAGACTGGCTCCCAGGCTCACCCCAGAGTCCAGAGGAGGCTCCTCGTGGGAGGCAGGCCAGGGGAGTTCTCCCACCGGAACTGCTGCAGGTGTCAGGCTAGGTTTCGTGGTCGGTGTGGAGTTCAGTTTGAAGAGGTTCTTTCCACCACAGCATTACAAGAGTGGTTTTAAGCGACTGGTACAGGGCCTCTTGATTTGTACATTCAAGTCTACTGGGCTCATGTCTGTTGGTAAGCTTTCTCTTCAAAGGTACCAAGAAGTTAATATTTTGTTATAAAACTTTTTTATACATAAGACCAGGCCTTTGCCTGAAAATAAACCAATATTGATCAATCCACGGAATGTGGTTGACATGTTGACTTTGGCTGTGTCTAAGTTCGTGTCACAGGATGTTACTCTAGATTATCCACTCTGTTGCCTGTTTACACAGTGGAGATCTTGGGCCTCGGACAGTGTCATAGGCCCAGCCAGTGGGCAATTGGGAGCAGCACTTAGGTGACAACTTGGAAGCTAAGCCTGCCCATGGTTTTATAGTTTCACCTGATTGTGGGGTCTTTCGCCATCACCGAATCTGATGTCCCTCAGAGATGTATAAAGCCTTGGTCACCAATCGATGATCCATGAGGTCTGAAAGGGTGGTGACAGCTGGTTTAAAGGACCCTCTTCTCCTCCCCTTTAAACACAAAGCTTCCCTCTGGGAACACACCTGCTCCTGGCCTCTGTGCATCCACCCCCTATCCTCACTGCAGCACCAACACCACACAATAGTACCAGGCCACAGAGGGGCAGTTACAGGGCCAGGACCCAGATCAGTGATTTCTGCTCTGTATTCATTGCAGGGAAAGCCCTGTTAGTGTGGACCATCTTCCTGGATATTGAAAGCTGGATTTGTAGCATTTTGGTGATGGGACCACCTTCACACACAGCTCCCTAGCTGTGAGTGTGCAGGGCGGGGCCTTGGGGGAAGGAGGGCCGACCAGGCAGAAACTCCCTGTCAGAGTGTTTCCCCTGTTCAGTATAGTTTTCTCTCACTCCTGGCTGTGCAGCGCCCGGCCCTACCCCTCTCCTCCTCTGGGAAAAGGCCCCAGAACTCTTACCAGAAGTCCCAAGAGCTGGGGGAGAAGGTGTGTGTGGACGTCTTCTCTGTTCCTGGTGGGTGTGTGCATCACTGGTGTTGAATGGAAGCATGAGGAGGCAGAGTAAACTAGAGGAGGAGTTGAAATCATGGACATCAATCAGTTTTTCCATTGGAATTTGATTCATGTACCACACACCCTTGGAGGAGCGTTGGTCCTGCGTCAGGTGCTGTCAAAGGTGTTCTTTCATTAACCCTCCAGCCCCTGGGAGAGGTGGAGTAAATGAGACCCCACACAAAGCTGGGATTCGAACAAGAGTTGTCTGACTCCAAAGCCTCTGCTTTATGTTAAATTCTTATAGACTAGAGGCCCGATGTAGAAAAATTCATGCAAGAGTAGGCCTTCCTTCCCCTGGCTGCCGGCACCGGCTTCCCTCTGGCATCCAGGACCCGGACTTCCCTTGCAGCCCTGGCTTCATCCAGAAGGTAGCCTGAAAGGATGTCCAGTCTAATTAGCATATTATGCTTTTATTATTATATAGATGTTTCACACTTACACAAAAGTAGAGATAAAATAGTGTCATGAACCCCATTGTCAGTCTTGTGTCAGCCATACCCTCACCTAACTCCCTCTCTTCCCCTCCCCAGAGTACTTGGAAGTAAATCTTAGACACTATAAAACTATTTGTAAATATTTGTGTCTATCTTTAAAAAGTACGGGCTCTTCTTTGTAAAAGCATAGCCTCAATGCCCATAGCTCCTGTGAAGCTACTGATTAATTTCTCCCTACCTCTCCAGTTAGAGCTTACATTTCCTCAGTGGTCTCAGTTCTTTTACATTCTTCTTGGATCCAAATAAGGTCTGTATTTTGCAATTGGTTGACCTATCTCTTATATCTCTTGATCTCTGTGGTTCCTTCTCTCTTGGGATTTTTTTTTTAATCCTCACCTGAGGATATATTTTCTAGAGGCCTGGTGCATGAATTTGTGCACCAGTGGGGTCCCTCAGCCTGGCCTGAAGGATCGGGCTGAAACTGGCTTTCTGACATCCCCAAAGGGTCCCGGATTGCAAGAGGGTGCAGGCCTAGCCAAGGGACCTCACCTGTGCATGGTCAGGGTGGGGAGGGAGGCAAGAGATTGGTCAGCCAGGGAGGGATGGTGGAAAGGCTCCAGGTTGTGTCCTACTCATCTCACTCAATCCCAATCAGCTGGACCCCAGCAACAAGCTAACCAACCATTTGGAGCATCTGCCCCCTAGTGGTCAGTGCTCATCATAGCGAGCGGTTGAGCAGCATTAGCATATCATTAGCATATTACACTTTGATTGGTTGAACAGCCAACCAGAAGACCAGACACTGGAGTGGACTGTGAACACAGCATCTGCTGGCGGTGTGAGCTGAGCACAGTCCAGCTCCTCTATTGGGTCTGATCTGTAAAAGCTCACCTTGGAAGACTCAGCTTCGATGTGTAGGCCATCGCTAAGGGGTCTCAGGGAAATCATCTGCAAGTCCTGAGGAGACCGGGCCTTGAGGCACTCCATTGGCTGCCCAGGGTTCTGAGCTGGAGCCAGCAAATGCCAACACACCACGAGGGAGGCTCCAGTCACCAATTTCTCACAAAGACTGTTTGCCTAAGCCTCAAGAGATACACTACTTTCTTCACTAAGAAATCATAAGTAATTTCCTAAAAAAAAAAAGGGGTGTGTGTGTGTCATAATCTGCTTTTCAGAAGGGTATTTATCACATTTGTTTTTCCTATGGAAAAGTACATGTGTGTCTCATAAAAATTAAAGTAGCTGGAGTTTTAAATCTGGTCCATTTCCTCTGATGGAAATGTGTGATGCTGAACTGTCACTAGGAGCGGGTGTTTTATAAAATCATAACAACAGTAAGACTGTGGGATTGGTGGAGGAAACTTAAAAGACTCCAAATTGGGGTATGTAAATTAAGTAAAATGTTGCACCCAGCATTCTGATTTTAATTTTCGAAAATAAGAGTTTAAACCCTTAATTTTTTTAAATCTTCCTATGGAGACACATTGAGTATTAGAAAATGTTAGGACCTTGGCCAAAACAGCTTCCCTATATTAAGAGAATGAAACTGACTTCCCTCCGTGCTAGGAGCAAAGTCAACTATAGTAGAGGGTTGGGCGGGCATATTTTACCCACAGTCCCTCCTGTCCCTCTTCCCCGGAGCACCTCCTGGAGGCCTTACTTCCTGCTGGTGATGCTGGGCTCGCTAGTGCCTTGGAACTAATGGTCTTCAGGGGTCCTGGACTGCAAGAGTCCTGGACTGCGAGAGGGATGTCTGACTGCTGGTTTAGGGATCGGGCTTAAGCTGGCCGGTGGACATCCCCTGAGAGCTCCCAGACTGCAAGAGGGAACATGCAGGGCCAAGGGACCCTCCCTCCCCTGCCCTAGTGCATGAATGTTGTGCACTGAGCCTCTAGTCCTATATAATAAAAGCCTAATATGCAAACCGTCCTCTCCACTGGGAGTTCAACTGCTAGCTATGACATGCGCTAACCACCAGGGGGCGGCACAGAACACGGCACTGCCAGTAACATGGTGCTGGCAGCAGGCGGCCATGGCGGCACTGTTGGCCACAATGGGCCCCAACAAGAGTGAGACTGTGGCGGGATGGCGGAGCAGGTGAGCGGGCGGTGCCAGGTCAAGGTGGGTGTGAGCAGCAGCAGCAGCGCCAGCGGCAGGGGGCCTGGCCTCGATCAATAGCCCCGCAGAAGGCGACCAGCTGCGGAGGCAGGAGATGGGCCGGCACCCGGCTCCCAGGATCTGAGGGAGGGAGCTGGGTGGAGTCCTGGCCTCAACTGATTGTCCTGCAGACAGTGACCAGCAGCCAGTCAGCCCTGATCACCTGATGGGGCCAGGCCCAGGTTGGGACGGGGAACTGGGGGTGGATGGCAGTGACCAACCTCCACAGCGCCCAGGTAGGGGGCTGCAACCTCTTGCCAGCTATCTGGGGACGGGGGCTGGGGAAGGAGTGGAGATGCAGTGAGAATGCGGGGTGTCCCCCGCGCTCGCTCTCACTCCCCCTGCTATCCTCCCCCGGGATGCCAGGACTCACGCGTTATGGAAGCCCCCCATGCTCAGGTGCCGGGTGCCCATGAGGAGCCCACCCTATCCCGTGGCCTCTTCTGGGTGAGCCGGGCTGCAGCTGCCAGGACCACAGGGGCCAGGTGGGTTTGCGCAGGAGCCGGTGTGCAAGGCTGGCTGGGAGAGAGCACACTGCTGCCCAGTTTCCATGCGGCGTCTCTGGGTGGCCCAGAGGCCCACACTGCGCCCCAGCCTGTGGCTCGCCGCATCTCCACGAGGGGACTTTGGTGCCATGACTCAGGCGGATGGGGGGCGCCCAGGGACCTAGGAGCCCAGGTGCTGCTCAGGACCCAGAGGTCAGCTGGGACCTGCCCTTTCACGCCAGATGCTCATGCTTCTATCACCAGCCAGGCCTAGGGACTGCACCCGTGCACGAATTTCATGCATCAGGCCTCTATTATATATATATATACACACACACACACACACACATACACACACACACACACACACACACACACACACACATATATGTCTGTGTAGGTGTGTGTGTGTGTATGTGTTAAAGATCAAGGCAATACAGCCAGGGCCCAGCCGTTTTTATGAACATCAGCCTTCTCAGGAGACACTTGCCGACTGCTGATAAAGGGCACCCTTGGAGGAACCAGTGCTCCAGGTGCCCTGCCAAACGTGTTCTTTATTAACCCTCCAGCACCTGGGAGAGCTAGAGTAAATCCACATCCAAAAACAAGGCCCCACACAGAGCTGGGTTCTAACAAAGCTGTCTCCCTATTGCAACCTCTCGAGGCCACTGCCCATGTCCGGCCTGCAGCCTGCCTGGTTCTGTGAAGACAACTCCTGCCACGAGCACTCTGCCTCCTGCCATTTGTTCCCTTTTCCCTAACTCCTCTTTCCCCAGCTCCCCTAGCTTGGGGGGCATGTGCACTGACTGTTACAGCTCCTGACCCCTGGCCAGAGATGCTGAGCTGGGTCGGTTACTCAGGACCCCATTTCCAGGTTTGAGTGTGAGTGTGGATTAGACACAGATGCATTACATGTAAAAACAAGATAAGCCCTTGTGAGATTGTTTTGTTCAGTGTTGCCTATGGCAGCTGATAGGAAATTGTGGGTAGCATTATCAGGCCAACTCCCCTTCCCGCCTCACCCCCCCTCCGCATTAGAATGGGGTGATCGGGAAATGGTGACCATCAGCTGCCCTTGAGTTGGAGAGGCTTCACAAACCTTGCTCTGTGGAACTTGCACAATCTAGGAAAAACTCCTGTGACTAAATATCACATGATCTCACTCACTTGGGAATATAATGCACAACATAACTGATGAACAAAATAGAACCAGAGACATAGAAGCATCGAACAGACTGTCCAACCTATGAGGGAAGGCGGGGAGGGGGAGGGGGGATAACAGATCAACCAAGGGACTTGTATGCATGAATATGAGCATAACCAGTGGACACAGACAGTAGGGGGCTGAGGGCATGTGCTGCGGGGTGGGAGCAGCCGGGGAAAGGTCAAAGAGGGAAAAATGAGACTCATGTAATACTTTAAACAATAAAGAATTTAAATTTAAAAAAAAAATACACAACTCATGTGACTTACCAGTTTATGAGGGATAATAAGGTATTTGAGTTCATTTTAATGCATATTTTTCCATGCAAAATAAAACAACTGGGCCTGCCTGAGAAATAGTTATTTTTGATGCTAATATGCTTTAAGTGGTAACTAATTATTGTGTGATATATACACCTAAGACTAATTCCTACATTTATTGACTTGTTTTTAGCCTTTCCTTCTCCTTAACTAAACATTCTTATTAACCTGTAGGGAGCAGTACCCAGAGGAAACGCTACTAAAGAATACATGGAGAGTTTGCAGCTAAAGCCTGGAGAAGTGATCTACAAGTGCCCCAAGTGCTGCTGTATCAAGCCCGAGCGCGCCCACCACTGCAGGTACCCTGGCCCCTCCTAGGACAGGCATTCCCCCTCAGTAACCTCTGACGAGCATCACAATTTTGTGTATTGGATGCATGGCTTGGGGTTGTGTTCCCTCAGAGTATGGAATACTAATAATCCAACCTCTCCTTTTCAGTATTTGCAAAAGGTGTATCCGGAAAATGGACCATCACTGCCCGTGGGTGAACAATTGTGTAGGAGAAAAGAATCAGAGATTTTTTGTGCTCTTTACTGTGAGTAGAAGTATTTATGTGGTAACTTACATTGAGTTTTAAATTCTTAAACTAGAATCTTGCCTGGAGCTGGTGAATTTATTCTAACCTCAGACCAGTTTCCCTCTGACCTTTCCTCTGGATTCAAATTATAATTCTGTGCTGTGACTGAAAGGAAGTAATCTGACAGATAAATATATGCTGCTTATGGTGCTTTAGGTTTTACTGACATTTAATTCTCTCAGATACACAGTTCTTAATAGGATCTTGCTGAAGTTAAAACAGGATTCCCACCGAAACCGGTTTGGCTCAGTGGTAGAGCGTAGGTCTGCGGACTGAAAGGTCCCAGGTTCGATTCCTGTCAGGCGCATGTACTTTGGTTGCGGGTACATCCCCGGTAGGGGGTGTACAAGAGGCAGCTGGTCGATGTTTCTCTCTCATCGACATTTCTAGCTCTCTAGCTCTCTCCCTTCCTCTCTGTAAAAAAAATAAAATATATATTTTTTAAAAACACACAAAAAACATGATTCCCTACTGTATGCTTTCCTATAAAATTATGTAAATTGGACCAGCATGTTATCGGGTAGGAGATGTCAACTACTGCGATTGATTCCTTCCCTCATTTTGTCGACAAATGCAATGGAGGCGACCACATCAGATTAAGCAGCCTTTGCTTCTAGAAATAGGTGATTGCTTATCACATGACCAGTTTTTCATCGTTGCAGATGTACATAGCTCTGTCTTCAGTGCACGCTCTGATTCTCTGTGGGCTCCAGTTCATTTCCTGCGTCCGGGGGCAGTGGACAGGTAAGGCTGTGTGCGTCTTTCCTGCAGTCATGCTGCTGAGTGATGAGGCTTTAAAGGAAAATTGATTTTCCAGTTTTTAAGAAATCCTAGCTCTTATTTTAGGAGTTGGTGTGTTTTTTTTCCTGTTGTTGTTTTTAAGAAAAGAATTTGGGTAAGTATAACACTGCCTTTTTCCTAGCATAATGAAGTTCTCTATAGTAACTATTCTTCCTTAGTCCATTGATAATGTCTGTTAGATAGTCCCATTTGTATTTTGCAGATATGAAGACTAGAGGGAAGATAGTATTGTTTCCACCAAACCTGGTTAGCCAGTGGGGCACTGTTCAGTGTGCTCCTCATGACTAAATGAGCATGGTGAAGGTGGGCATGGCCTGTCCAGCCCTGGGTGCCCAGGCAGGTACAGCTGTCCTGCCCAGGGGCAGGGGAGGAGCGGCCGTGTGGAGGTACACCTGCCTCTCTTCTTCTCTGGCACTTGTTGCACTTTAATACACAGGTACAGTTTTAGTAGAAACCTCAGTCATTATGGAATCTTTGGAAAGTGCTGACCGGAAACAGTGGTGCGAATTTTCGCTCAGGAGGCTGACCTGAACAGTGAACAGTGAGTGTGCCTACTTAGAGAATGGCACATTCTCTCCGGAGGCTGGCCCAGGGCCGCCACTGTGAGCGTCCTGGGAGCTCACCTCACCACATCCTGCGGTTTGGGGCATTTGTTATGCTGTGATGTCCAGCCACAACCCACTTTCTCTCGTTCGCAGAATGCAGTGATTTTTCACCTCCGATCACTGTAATCCTGTTGATCTTCCTGTGCCTTGAGGGTCTCCTGTTTTTCACTTTCACTGCAGTTATGTTCGGCACCCAGATCCACTCAATATGCAACGATGAAACGGTATGCTTCATCCGGGGCTGTGTTTGCTTAAGGTTTGGTGAGAGCTTGAGTAAATGGGAAATTCTAATGTCCGCAGGAGGTGTTGTGTGTATTATTAACTCGGAGATTAATTGGGCCGCCTTGATAAGCACCGACAGGCTCGCTGTATTTGTTCTTCCTGTTCTTATGCGAGTGCATATTTCAGGGATCAGTATGACCTGAGAGTCAACAGAGCCAGGCAGGCTCCCAGTTTCCAGGACACCCAGCCCTGGAGCAGCCGAGTGAGTTGCAGGAACGGATCATGCCTTTGAACTGTAGGCCTAGAGCAGACGCTCGATAAATATTTGTAGTAAATGAGTTAAAGGCTGCCCCTGGCCCGGAGGACACGCTCTCTTCCTCACCTCTGTGGCTCTTCGGCCATCCTTGTCGCTGGTGCCACTGCCTTGGCTGAGTGACACTGGCCTGGCCAGGCGTCTGTGGCCTGGCTGTGCTCAGGGCGGCCGAGGGGCTGGTGCCGGGGAAGGAGAGCCCACACAGAGGGACAGCTTAGTGGCCATCCCACCTTTTCAGCGCGTGGCCTAACCCGGCAGTGCCGGGGTTTCCTGGCACTGCCACCCACACGCTTTTCTTTCCACTTCCAGGAGATCGAGAGACTGAAAAGCGAGGAGCCGACCTGGGAGCGGCGGCTGCGATGGGAGGGGATGAAGTCTGTCTTTGGGGGGCCGCCTTCCCTCCTCTGGATAAATCCCTTCGTCGGCTTCCGATTTAGGCGACTGCAAATGAGACCCAGAAAAGGAGGCCCGGAGTTCTCCGTTTGAGACCCCTCTCCTGCCGGAACTTGTGAATGGACTTAAAATTATTTATTTGGTGTCTGAAAGGGTATTGACAACTCATCTGTGACCAATAGGGCAAATGGAACCTACACAAACCAGTTGCTTGCAGCAAGCAGAATCTTACATATTTACAGTCGCAGGTGGCAGATTTTCCAAACTAGGACCCAGATGCTGCAGGTGCTTTCACCTGTACAACAAAGAAAGAGAGGTGGCCCCGTGAAAAAGCCAAAAGTCATTCTCCTCCCGCTCAGTTAGGACTTTGTTAAGACTACTTCGCATTTCTAAGAAGCTGTGTGATATTACACGGGTTATTAAAGCCTTCGTACTGAGCTGCTGTTTTCAATCACGAAGACGGGAAGTCAATCCAGTGAAATGAATTCTCCAACGAGTGGTCCCAGGGAGGCCTGCTGACCCTGCGATTCATTAGCGCACTCCCTTGGTCCAGGAGGGGCGTTTACATACAAGTACATTTTGGTCTCCATTAGCTCTGACATTCGCACTGAATTTGCAAACGATCTGTGCATTGCACACGAAGGCGGCTCCAGATACACTCCCACTGCCCGGAGGGGCCTTCTTTGACCCTGCAGCAAGTCTGTGTGCGTGTCTGTGTCCGTGTGTGTGTGCGCGCGCGTGCATGTGTGTTTTAAAATTGACAGTGTTGTTTAGGCGATGTAACACTTAATGGCCGTGAGCAGCAAACAAACTGTTTTTTAGAAACCGACGTTTCAGGGAAGCGGGGAGAGCTGCCCCGGATCCTCCTCCGGTGGGCTCACGATGAATGTATTGCAAACTGGAGAGTATCTTGATCCAAAGAACAATCATTCCTGTGTGGTCCTCTGTTGCCCTCCTGTTTTCGTTTTATCTTGAAAATCTTGAGCACATGAGGACCTCGGAACTAGTTCTGCCCAAATTAGCGGTGTATGAATGGCACCTCAGTGAGAGAAGAGGGGCGCCCCCTGGCGGCCTTCACCTGTGCGGAGTGGGGGCGTATCGGAAGAGGGGCCGGCACCGCAGCAGGTACACACCGAGAGAGAGACACACGTGTCGACCCCTGGCATCACTGAGAAGGTGAGGGCACCACAGGCCGTGAATCCTGGACTCTGTGTCCCTCACTTGCAAAGAATATTCAAGATGGAACAGCTTGTTTTTCTTTTCTTTCTTTCTTTTTTTATTTTTAATCATTTTTGTTTCTCTACCCACATCACCAGTGATTAAAAAAAAAAAAAAGGACCCTTGGTGCAGAGCTTAAAATCATGCCAGAAAGCAAACAGCTCCCCTCCTTGGGGACTCGCCTTAAACTTGCCTGGTCTGTGCATGTTCTGCGGGACCCGTGAGGAAGCGCCTGTGGCCGTCCGAGGGTTTCCGGGAGCCTGCCTCCCACGCTGAGAAGAGTTGGTGTCTCCCTCCTCGTCTTCATGCCTTTCTGTTCATCCTTGAACCGTTTTTTGTTTCTGTTTTTAACTGATCCGTACCCTTTCCTAATCAGGGCTTCTACCACTGCTGATGCAAAACCGCAAAGGGACCTACTCGAGACACAATGGTACCCAAGTGAACAAAGCGTAGGATGTGGAAGTGAACCGAGTCACTGCAGAAACTGTGCGCTATGGGGGCTGTGTCACTGTCCCAGGGCCAGGCAGCCATCCGGGTGATCCAGAGAGTTTCCCCGAAATTGTTTTGCATATTCATTTGCACATCTGTTGTCTGGGTTGGACTTGTGTATTGGGCTTCAGTGTGAGCCTTTTAATATGTATATCTTGTTTATCAATAAATTATCAAAGTGGTTGAATCCTGTGACACTTGGCAAGTATGTGCAAATCAAGTATACTTGACTTTTCAACCTCTTCTTTCAATGTAACTTTTATATGAAATAAAATCACCGGCTGACTGATCTCAAACAGTTTATTATGCGGTAGAGTTCTTGGTGGATTGTCTGTGTGTTTTCTGTGGCTTTTTCTGGGCTTAGGGACACCAGCACCCCCGGCTGTGACCCTCACCCCTTGCCTCTAGTGCCTGTGAAAAGTGATGGGCATTTACATGCTGCTCATGCGCACTCTGCCCTATCCACATTTAATATTTTCCTCTTCAGTTGGCACGCCATCTTTTACTTAGCTTTATCTTAACCATTGCTGTCATGTTTTAGTGCTGTTTGAAATAAAATTAAATTAAAAAAATATCACTCTTCAATCCAGAATCTCAACTTCCTATAACTTCATTCAATAAATGTATCTGTGCTTAAGAGACCCAAAGATGAGTGAAGAGGGTGACCGTGCCCTCTTACCGCCGCACAGGGAAGATGGGCCGCACCACGAATGACCAACGATGCCCACCGAGAAGCCACTCGCACTCTTCCACGGGCACTCGCCGGCCTTGCAGGCGTGCAGAAACACATGGGGTCCTGAACATGGAGACACATACCAACTGGACACCAGGCCAGCAGCAACTCTCAAGCCTGTGTTGGTGGCTCTGCAGAAATTTGCTGCGATGTTAATTGTATTCCTCTTATTAGGACATTACAGAGGCTCGTTAAGAAGTCCGACATTTGCATTTAAATGAAAATATTACTAACGAGGAAGTAGGCTACATCTTATCTTCTATTAGATATGATTTTTGTTTGGCTGCCTATGCAGAGAAGAATACCCTTAAGGATAGCGTGGGGAAAGCAGAGGAAGGGGGATGCCCATAGAATCCACATTGATCCAAAGTAGCATTCCGCTGCTTCAGCGAAAGGGTACACTACCTGCAACATTGCCTGAGGATCAGATGTTAAACCATATTGCTCCTATCCATCCAACTGACAATTTAGGCAGCCCAAGGTCACAAGGAAGATAAAGCAATGATGCAGATCTGGGGTGTTTCAGTTAGCAGAAAGCTGAGCCAGAGAATAAAAGGCTTGATTGCTGGCCTGTTGGGAAACAAAATTACTGAAGAACTTTCTATGCACATGCATTTTCAGTTTGGAGAACACACAATTTCCAAGTTCCTGACACCCCTTGATTCACTGCCTGCTCTCCCTTTCCCTCCCCACTCACCCAATATATTTACTTTGCACATTTTGTTCATTAGAGTTTATACTATGATGACTATTTTGTGCTAAACCAAGTAGGTTTCTGGGATGTACAACTTTTTGCTTTCCCCGAAGATTAAAGTTGCTGGTGTGCCCTATACACCCACCAGTCAGTCTTCTTTCCCCTCCCTCCCCACACAAGCCTCTCTGGGTGTGGCCCTCACACCCTCCGCTCCTGTCCCCGGAAGCCCTGGCTTCAGGTGCCTGCACAGCTATTTTCCCAAGATTCCTGTGTTTGAGCTCTGGCTTCCTGGGTTCTGGATCTTCCAGATTCTTCAATTGTTCAACATGTTCCCTTGTAGTTCTTTGAAAAGGGGTATGTTGTTCAAGTTTTTCAAGATTTTAGTCAGTCTGACCCTCGCCTTCGGTTGATGGTTTAGCCAGACCATGATTTTCTCTTCATTACATCTCATTTAGCACATTGGAGACACCAAACCATCCTTGTCCACTCCCTACTCGGCCACTGAGAGGATCCAGTCCTGGTTCCTGTTTTATGTGACCTCGCTCTTTTATTTTAAAATCTTAGGAAGCAGCTAATATCCTCTTTTTTTAGTCCTAACTCCTCAAATTGAACAACCATCTGCCTTGGTGTCCTGCTTGGCATCCCCATCTGAGACATGTGCTTTGAGTTCTGGTAATCGTGTTGTTCCTTCTTTGGGAATTTAATATCTTGATCTTATTTTCCAACTCTTACAAAGTGAAAGTTGCACTGCCTAGACCAACCCTCTCATTTTCTCTGTTACTAGCTATGCAGGCAGTTGGATCACCGGCTTGCGACCACTGGTCTATGCTTTCTGGAATGCACCGTAACTTGGTCTTGCAGCTCTTCTACTGGATATTTTATTCAGGAGTGATAGCTTTAATTTCCAAGAGCTTTTTACTACTATTGTTAAAAAAAAAAAGACTTAATTTTTTTCAGAGCAGTTTTAGGTTCACAACAAAATTAAATGGGAGGTACAGGGATTTCCTACATACCTTTTGTCCCCACGCATGCATGACCTCCTCTTCCCCCCCCCCCCCAATCAATATCCTCACCAGAGTTGCACATCGGTTACAATCAATGAACCTACACTGACACATAATCACCCAAAGTCCTCAGTTTACACTATGATTCGCTCTTGGTGGTGTACACTGTGTGGGGTTGGATAATGATATGTATCCATCATTCTCGTTCAGAGTACTCTCACTGCCTAAAATTCCTCTGTGCTCTGCCTACTCCTTCCTCCCACAACTCCCCACTGATCTTTCTATAGTCTTATATTTCATCTTTTCCAGAATGTCATGGAGTTGGAATCACAGTGTGCAGCCTTTTCACATTAGTTTCTTTCACTTAATAATAGGCCTTGAAATTTCCTTCACACCTTGTCATGGCTTAATAGCTCATTCCTTCTCAGTGCTGAATACTATCTCATTGTATGTACCACAGTTTATCCATTTGCCTACTAAGGGCATCTTGGTTTGGGCAATTATGAATAAAGCGCTGTGTGTAGGTTACTGTGTGGACATAAATGTTCAATGCCTTTGTGTTCTGCTAAGAGTTTTACAGTTTCTGGTCTTCTAAGTCTAATCCATTTTGAGTTCATTTTTGTGTGTGGTATAAGAAGGGTCCAATTTTATTCTTTTGCATGTGAATATCCCGTTTTTCCAACACGATTTATTAAAGACACTGTCCTTTCCCCATTGTGTATTTTGGCACCCTTGTTGAAGATTAGTTGACCATATATGCATGGGTTTATTTCTGGGCTCTCTAATCTGTTACTCTGGTCTATGAGTTGTCTTTATGTCAATACCACACTGTTTTGATTACTCTAGCTTTGTCTTATATTTTGAAATCATAGAGTGATGCCTGTAGCTTAGTACTCAAGACTGATTTGGCTAGTAGTCATAGTCTTGTGTAGCACCATATGAATTTCATAATTGT